ACTACTACGACTACGACTACTACTACTATTACTACTACTACTACTACTACTACCACTACCACTACCACTACCACTACTGCTACTCTCGCTGCTACTGCGGCTACTTCTGCGGGCACTGCTATTGCTGCGACGACGAGGACGACGACTCCTCCTACGACGACTACGGCCATTACCACTGCTACTGCCACTACCACCACAAAAGTGACACAGTCTATTTGCCACGTACATGTCTTGTCTTCTTGGTTCTGCTGTCATCACCAGCATCATTGTCTTCTGTTCCTTGCTGCCCTGTTGCGCACCCCCTTGCTCTGTCTCGAGGAGGTCCTGCACGACCAGCTGCAGCTTGTTAATGTATTATTGAGACTTAGACGGGGCTTTAGGATTTGCCGTCCACGGGTTTCTGCTTGGAACGGATGTGAGGCTGCGGTGTTCAGGCCGACCTGCTAGAATCCGTGCGAAGTGACGAACACTGGAGACTACCGCAGGCTTGTGAATGAAACGCTCTGTAGGGCTTGAGGGTTCTTGGGTTTGGTGCTTTTAGGGTCTCAGGCTCCACCAAAACCCTAGACTCCTGGCGCCCACACCCTGAATTGCCGACTGCCAGCCCGCCTTCAGGTGCAAGTAGCCTTCCTGGCGCGTGACTGGATGATGAAACCAGTCAGAGGACTCAACAGGAATGGTGGCAGGACGTGCGAACTACGCGATGGTCATGGCCATAGCAGCTGCAGTTGTGCTCCCCGACCGCTGTAGGTCTTTCATGGCCGTGGATCCCTAGACCGTAATCCCGACAGCATGAGCACTAGTTCGACCCCCAAAACCGAAAAAGATATGCACTGATACAGCCGCGCAGGTTTCAGATGGAAGGTGCTGAATCTCGCGAACTGACGATATCTTACAAATGGCGACACTCGAGCCGGAGTCATCTAAACATTGACACAACCCGTGAACAGCGGCAAACTTCCAAAAGACACCTCACGTGGCCAGTTTTCAAAAGCGGCTTTGAAGAATCCACACACAGGCAAGCGAAAAAACAACTTGGCCACAACTGCCGGAGCAACTGTGCAAAACCCTGCACAACGGCGCGATGGACCTCGAATCCACAGTGGGCAGCCTTAGCTATGGATTTACGACCAAAGTCAGCTTTGGAAAGCCCTGTATTGATTTTGAGCAGTGGATGCGGGCTCAAGTGCTTTAGGCGTCGGACCCCTTTTCTTTCCTGCACAGAGGGCCTGAAGCTGCTGCAAGTTGCAAGGATCTACTGCCGTGGCCAGTGCCTCCATTGACTACTGGATTTACACAACAAGTCACAAGAAATCTGGACTAATGAAGCTGAAGAGGCCCTAAATTTAAAAAATATCGAAGTCGAAGGTCCCAAGGCCCCAAATCAATAGCACGCTGCCCGCCGAGTGCTCTTGGAACTAGGGCCAGTATTGTATCGATGCTCTGGCTCAGATGCTGGAACGGCGGCTATCGAAGTTGCCCGCATGGACGCTCTTTGAGGAGCTGAGATGTGCTAGACCCCTCATGTTATCAAGCCTGCTGGTGAGGGTGCTGTGGTTGAGATGCACCGGGAACCGTTGCTAGCATGGGTGCTTGTCTTGGAATGCACCAGAAATCAGAGGTAAGGTCGCCAGCATGTGTGTTTGGGTTGAGATGCACCACGAGCAGCATGTTGTGATTCAGGTTGTCGGCGTGGATGCTTTGGCTCTGATGTGCTGCCAGCAAGATGCCGAGGTTGAGATGCGCTGGGAACGGGATGTCGCTAAGGTTGGCAGCATGGATGCTCTGGCTGAGATGTGGAACGCTATGGAGGTTTCTAGGATGCACTGGGAAGCTGTCAGCATTCAGGTTGGGGTTGATAACCACATCCTAGGCTGCCACATGGGTCCCTGGACAAAATGGACGAAGGCTCAAACTCAGCCAGACGAGCTTGTGAAAAGGCTGAGAAGTCAAGACACCCCTAGAATGGAAAATGGAACGCTCCTCAACCAGCCCTTCAGTGAAACGAAGCTCATTCCGATATACTCCAAGCATCTCCAACAAGCGACATAGATTGAAAGAGCGCTTAGCTGCTTAGCTGTCCAAGACCTAAATACCACGACCATCGCACCCAAGCACGGTGGCAGGAGGACGATTTTGGGAGGCGGAAATAGACAAAATGGTGGCAGGCGAGGCGATGCGCACCTCGAAATATGCTGGGCACTGTGGCGGGAACGATTATTTCCGAGCAGTGCTGGGAGCACGATTCACCATACACGCGTGCGCAACACAGTGTGGCTGCGGCTATGCTGGGAAAAACGCGGCTGTAGTCGAAAGTGTCCTCTGCGCCATACCCGGAGCTGCGGATATGTGGTGCGCCGCCGAGCAGTGACCTAAGCCCTTTACTATGAACGCGGGTTTAGGAGAAGCTTAGCTTTGGAAAGTATGGGGAGCAGCTAGCAGCTAGACCCCTTTGACATAAAATCAGGCCCTGGACGGGCTTGCTGTGTTCACCCGGTTTGTCGGGCTTTCTGGGTTAGTCGGGAGGGTGAAGTTCCCGGTGAGGCATGCAACAGCAAACCTGCCAAATCAGCCGTAAGCCGGGATGCAAACTGCTGCGTTACACCGCAGTATATGCGAGAGATT